CTTGCAAATTTCAGGGGGTAATAAGTGATAAAATTTAGTTATGATTGTACCCCTGAGTTGGCTGTTAACCTGCCTGAGATTTACTTGGTGTTTTAATTATTCTCAAAAGTTTTGCTACAAAATATAGTGTTTTAAGTGCCTAGTTTGAGACTGTAGAAACCAAACACTGGTAGTTCAGCGGGACAATGGGGTGGGTACGTTAAATGCCAAAAGTAGGGTGAATATATAGATTTAATAATAAGAAAACTTGAAAAATACAAATTCCACTAGAATTTTGCCTTGATCTCAATGAAAACCATCAATTAGCAAGATTTTATATCACAACTAGGGACTGTCTGAAATCAACTCTTCAGTACATCCCTTATAATCAATTTATAACAAAAATGGGAATAACAGATATATATATAGACAAGGTGATAAAGCAATACCGCAGTGCACGTTGGTTTCCAATATATGAATGACTTGATAATACTAATAAATGGTACAATTTGGGGTATTTTACTTATAACTCAGCATAAACGGTAATTTTCAACCCTTCTAAGTGGTAGCGGTATTTGGTGGTAGTTTTCCACTTCCAAACGGGCACTAATATGGAACAGACTCACCAAAATTGAAGGTGACAGGCGATTATGTTCCTCGGTGGTGTCTAGCTGTCGAGTACAGGGTGTAGGCGGCCACGTCGATCATATACAGGGTGTTGAGCGTACAGGACAGAGAGTGACGCTACAGGGTGCATACCGGATCCATACAGGGTCCAAACAGGGTGGACTCGAAGAGCTGTTTACTCCTCAGCAACTATACAGGGGATTCTTAGGGTTGCTTGTTCATCAGCAGGCTCTCCTTTGGGGCTTGCAAAAAAAAAAAAGGCCAAACCGGTGGATGACGCAGATCGGAAGCCAGGAGATAATTCCAGGAGAATAAGAACCCTAAACGATAAAAAAAAGAAAATGGTTGTGTGCCACTCGAAAAATAATCAAGACTAAATTCCTTACCTGATGTGATGGTGGTCGGGTTCTTGATCGGCTGATGTCAGCCTCGTGGCTTTCGGCCTTAAATCCCTCCAATTTGAGGTATGGTACCAAAACCAAAATTGGTCACCACGAAATGAGAATTCGAATCGAATTAATCCCAACACTAATGGAGAAAGAATAAATCAAAATATGTACAATGCGAAATCGAATCTCTGGCTTACTTGTCACACGAGTTGGATCAACCTTCTCCAGGAAAAATGGCGAGATATCTCGTGAAGATGATGGGCCGTCCTTCAACCGGAAGATCGGTCTTTATCTCAAAAACGCCCCATACCTCAGGAAAGTGTTGGTGGGAGATTTTCCCGCGAACACACTGTAGATGGTATTTCACCACCACAGAAAGATGAGAGAATTTCCTAGCTCCAACAAGAAAATACCTAATTTACCCGATATTAGTGAATGTTAACCATTTTCCATTTAGTTTTCGTGGAAATTGATTTTTCGGCGGTTAAAGCCGTTTTGCCACGACCACAATATTCAAACGGAGACATACGCAATCTTCTTCTTTTTCGATGGATGCTCGACTTCATCGAACGAGACATAAACACTAGGGTTATCACACCTACTATCCGATTTAACAACAAATCACTATTTTGACAAAAATCCCGACATCATGCTGAGCTTAGTCCTTCCATAATCAATCAATTTTGAGGGCCATTCAAAAATCGATGAAAAATGAACTGCTGTCAATGACAGATGTTAGCAACTGCTAAAAGTACGGAGAATCATAAAAATAATGACATTGTCTTTCAAAATAAAGCAGAGCAGCTCGCAAATATCGGTCAACTGTCAGTAGTCAACAATCTGACAGTGATAAAGATTCTGACAGTGATACCTCGCTCAATATTATTGACTGAAAATGTAAACAACGAGCACAATATGATAAATCGACTGATAACTAAAATAGTGAAATGATCCTCGCTAAACTGTTGAATATCCGTGCGCTCGAACATATCGAAGAAGACTGGCTATCATCCCACAAAAACAACAGCGTGAATAAATATTCGAAACCAGAATCGCGAACCACGGTAAGCACTGACAACAGACCTTGTCTAATAGAAACTCGAGAGACTATTTTGTTTTCAGGAGCTAAATAAGAGAACTGATTTACGACAATAAACTGTCGTATAAACTATTTGAGATTGCAAATAGGATATATCAACGACAACTGATGAATAAACAAATGAAAATCTGAGAGAAAAGTACGTAAACAAAACCATCTCGATTTGATTTCTAGCAGTATTTTCGTTAGGCAAAAACGAAGTGTAACAGTGTGTACTTGACCCCCTGTATTATAAATATTTGACAGTTATTTTCTGTTTTGTTTTTCTCACACGATGTAACTCTTCGTGCTGAAGTCATGTACCAATTTTGAGATTATTATCTTATTAAATACGCGAGTAATTATAAAAAAAATTAGTATTTGATTTCCAACTTTGACACCCTGTATATCGAATATGAAGGGCTAAAATGAAAAATGGTATCTAGAAACTCATATTGTTTTTGTTCAAGGAATATATGGTTAATGGATTTACCTCCTTTTAGCGGACACCCTGTATAACTTTCTATGTATAATACAATGGTGTAATCATTATTTCTGTAATCCCTTTAGAAAATGGAGCAAAAAAAAATCAATCCTTATATGTCATCAAAATTTTTGATGGGCTATGATGAATCTAATTCGAACTGGATAGAAATATATAGGGTGTCCCATTTGAAAAAATATATGTTGGCTTCATTTTCTAATGAGCGATCACAGGAACCAAATGAGTATGCCACTGTATTATACGTCAAGGTGTCCCGAAGTTAGCCTGCCAAACTCAACCAGTGACTTATACAACAAATACAACAAAAAATAGGATTAAAAGTTTCAATGAACATGATACAGGGTGAGAATATATTGAATATTGCCCAATATTTTTTGTATGCATATTTTTAGACAATGTAATCTCGGATTATAAAAATCCACATTTCTTTAGAGAAAACTAGGGTCCCTTGATGGAAATTGACATTAAAGTCATCTTAACAGGGTACGGACAGATCATAGCTGCATTCTTTTTTAATGATCTAGAGACTTTAGTTTTGTCTACTGGCATCCCTGACATTGCTGTCACGTCACATCCATGGGCGATACAGAAAATCATTCGAAATTTTAATAATAGGTATGTACAGGGTATTTGATTGTTGAGGAAGATCATGTGGCGAACAAGTTTTGTGATGAAGATCCGATTCTATTCGTAATTGATATCTGGCGGTTTTCGGGGTAAGAGATAATGATTGTTCCGTCAAAATTGAAAAATCCAAGATAACGGATCCATTAGTTTATATAATTACTACTTTATCACGAATAGAAAATATGTAGGATGCAAGAGTGAAAATAACGTGCCTATAAGTTATACTGCGTATATCTACTTGTTTGTTACTTTCATCAATACACTATTTGAAAATGACTTTTTATTTGAGGAAGACGGAAGAATCATATGTATAACATTGGGGTGAAGTATATTCTATTCTTTATTTCCCTGCACTTTACGAATAACTTTTTATCAGCCTACTTTTCGTCCTAGACGAAGTTTTATACATAGTTGATATTAGTCACTCCATAAATTCTTCGAGTTGTATTTCCGAAAATATATTTAGCACACATTACATGAGTACAGTCGTAGTTTAGATATTCTCATCGAGGTTTTCACCATTTCTCAATCATAAGGCTCAGCTCATTCAGCTCATAGATAAACTACTGCTCAGTTTGAAATCAGAATTCATTCAGTCAATTCAGTCAACCCTTGTATACAGCCTAAGAACAGTCTCTTATTTTGGTGAAATATATTGAGCTTTCAGTAAAATTCATATGTTTCCTTAGCTACCTCTAAAAAATTATGCTGGAGTATAGTAAACTCTAAAGGGCGCCGTACATTATGCTATTTACCAGCAAGTTCGATGCAATGCAATTTTGAATCGAACAATGCGCATGCGTCTATGATATTTCATGGCAAGTTTCATGCTAGTTTCGTAAAAGAACCAGTCCTATTTTTCCTGCGATTTCAAGGCAAGTTATTTAGTAAAATTTTTAGTAATATTCATCGTAGCATCTTGATAAAATACTAATTTTCTCCATAACGTGGCCTGAAAGGCTCAAAAAACCTGGAAATAGTGAATATGAACAAGAAAATATGACAGAAATATCTCAATGTACGGCGACTCGCATAAATTTAGAAAAATTGCGAGAAAATTGCATTGCCTCAAACTTGCCGAGAAATAGCATAATGTACGGCGCCCTCATAACTAGAGGATTGTTCATCTATATTTTGGTATAGTTGAATCAGGAATTCCATATGGAAATTACGTATGATACGCCAGTGACCTCAATATAACCTAAAAAACAACAAATGCCAAAAATCTAGTGTTTATCCCCAGAAATGAATAAAGACGGAAGTATATAACTGTTTCACAAACACTTTAGAGTGAGAGGAGACGAGGATCTGTCCGTACCCTGTAGAGATGACAAATACGTCAGTTTACATCAAGGGACCCTAGAGAAAACAAGGTATTCTTATTCTGCATCGATCATATGTATCATTTTCTAGTTCTAAATTCCAAGCTGCTGTTTGACGTGACATCACTGATGACATCACAGATCTGTAGTTTGATGAAATTGTTGGACCGTGAGACACAGCCTAGGAGACATTTCTCGACTCATGTTCATTGTAACTTTTCTTCCTATTATTGGTCGTAAAAGCCGCATGTGAAGTTTGGCAGGCTAATTTTTTGTGCATTGTACAGCAATGTGATGGCATTCTGGAATAAATAAATATCCCAAAAAACACGATCCATATGCCAAAATAATTAAGAAAATGCATTCTTTGTAAACAAACAAATTAATATGAAAATTGAGGTTGCCAATATAAAGGCCCAAGTTCTAATTTCAATTTTCCGATACAACAGCACAGCTTAACTTTTTCGTTTCAGGTCAGAATAAAAGCTTTATCGTCGAATAATAACAGAGTATTGACACCATCTCACAAGCTGCAATGCAGAACATCACTATTACCAGTTTTACCGTTCGACAATGCCAACAATAATAACAATTCCTGTGATATTCTTGAGCCTTCTAGTCCTCCCAAAATCAAACAGCACTCTGTATGTTCAAAACAAAGCAAGAGGAATTTGAAGAGATTGACTAGATGAATTTTGCTCAACTGGGAGAATCTTCTCTAAGCATCGCAGATCTTAACTGGTTGTACAGTTATTATTACTTAATATATATTTTTTTATTCATTGTTACAGTTAACTAACCGGACAACACTGTTTTTTATAAGTTATGTAATATTTGTGATATTGATATCATTCCTAAGTAGGTTTTAGCTGCAAAAGGAAGTAAATGACGTTTTCTAACAAATGGAACTTTTATTTAACCTAATTCACTAGATCAAAAAAATACCTACTGCAGGAATTCCTGATTTTTCACTAGGTGCAGTACCCACTGAGCAAGGAACATCCCTGGGATGTTTGGTAACGTTAATTTTTTGTACCTTTGGTGACGATATTATATCATATTTCTGGGACGTTTTAATTCGTCCCTTATTTGGGCTGACTCTGCTACATCCCCAGATACACGTCGCTGTTTCGTAACATTAAACTGACCTATGCACGTCTATGTGATCTTATTTGAGTCAATATTCCAACTCCTTCTCATCACAGAACATTTTATGTGACGTACTTTTATCATTTTCCGGATTCGAATCAGATACTTATCTCTCTCACTTTGTGCTATTTTGGTTTGTGTTTTGTGTGTGTGTCTCACAATAAAGTGTGAATTTTGACTTGAGGTAGAGTAATAGTCAAGAAAATCAAGTGAAAGTGCGTTTTTTGGAAAACATGGTGAAATAAGTGAGTTGAATTACCAAAATCATAATTTTCTGTTTATGTATCAGCACACAGTTGTCTGATTCATAATGGCTTCAGTCAGAATTTATTGTCGGGTATCTCCCTCCAGTGAATATATAATTATGTGATAAATATAACTACAAGTCCTGCTCTATTATTGTTCCTCTCTTAGTTTTAAATGAACTCAGTAATATTATTTGATTTTTGGGGTTAGGTCATATGCAATATAGAAAAATGTATCACCAAATAGCTGTATAGGTATATCAGTGACCAACAAGCTCCCTCAAAATAGTTTGATTCATGTCATTTACGGAAGCTTTCAGTGGAATATCTCAATTCCTTCAAGTACTACATTGTTTACAGGTCAGTGCTTATGAAGTTTCCTCGGAATCTGATGGATACCTACATTACTAGAACATGCGCGTGAGCTCTGGACAAACCTACCCTCTAACCTACTTCAGTAGAAATGATGGAATACACATCTGCTGTTTGCCTGGGAAGTTTAGGTATGAAAAAGTGGAATGCATATAGTGGGTAATGTAAATTTCCTACTCATTAGGTATGATATATACTTTAGAATCCAAGTATCTGGGATTTCATTCAATCAAAAATAGAGACACAAGAATCAGTAAGTCCTTTATTCTTGAAAGGCGTATGAAAAAATGATGACAACATGAAAATCCACTCTTACATTGGGCTAGAACACACTAAAATCCACTAACTGCCTCAGAGGAGGGTGAAAGTATGGAGAATCAAGAACACACCAACAGGAAGGGAACTAATCGAGGCAGAATCAAGGTAGGATGATATGAATATTTGATGCTGATATTGTGTATTACGATTGTTTGGTGTTTCAGGTGCATTTCATGAAATCGTCAGCCTTGAAATAGATTCGCCCATAGAATCATAAAACTGAACTAACTGAAGTGACATACATTGATCAGTACCTACAGTGCCTGTAGTACACCATATAAATTGACATTGTGGAGCATTGCTAAAATGAGTATTTATAGGTATTTATATTTTTCATGAGGCTTTAATGCTGACCCATAGCGAGGGCTATTATATCACGTCAAGGACGGTTTGCCACCTTTTGAAATTTGCCGACCCGGAGATTGTGATACATTTGAAGAGCCTCATGAAAACATAAACAAATGGCGCCGCAGGCGAGAAGTGTTTTTGGTTCAAGGTGGAAATATTTTGTTTATTTCTGTTTAAATGAATTCAAGAAAAAAATGTGTTGAAGCCACATAGAGTGATTCCTTTGCACAGGCAAAATAGTTTGAATGAATTAAGGAACATATTACTGGAGAATTCTTATCCAATCAAAATAATCAATTTTCAGAAATTAGAATCATAGAAAATAATGATGACAATCTTCTAAATTCACTAATCCTTCCAGTTGCTCCTCAAAATTTAGAAATTCCAAAGTATACATCACTTCCTTACATAGAAGATTCAACTCCTAAACTCTCTAACATCTTCAAGAATGAAAACTTCATTATTGTATATGTAGTATGAATTCTTCAGTGAGAATGAAAATCCAATTCGGATCTGAATAAATTTTATTACATAACAGTTACTATCGTAATATACATAACAACCGATGCTCCTTTTATCTTCCAGTTCTCATGTCATAATGTATATCTAGAAATCCCTATTATATGTTTGTTTTTACGAACGTTTGAAAATGAATAAAAGAACCGACATTGGCAACTTGAGTAGCATTTATAATTATTTACTTGCAAAATAGAACAACAAAAACTGTATTCCTAACAACATATCTAGATTATCACAAACAATTCCTCAGCCTTGAGTTTCTTGTCTCACCACCCAATTTAATTTCAAATTGACCGCCACAGTTCCCTTTCTCTTCTCACAACGGTCGTCGATCTTAAACGAATTCCACCGAAGTAGTTGGCATTTCCGAGTCTTCCAACCGTCCATTTTGTTTTCATAGGTCCGTTACGGAAAAGAGATGAGACCTGTGGATTGATATCTATTGTTTTTATCCTAAAATTATAAAATTACAAATGTTTTAATCGTCGAATTCAGCTGAAGATGCAACTGTTATGTATTTCATTGTGTTTTACACCAATCTCATGTTAGTAAGTACTTTTTTCAAATGTATTATTGACAAAGTTTTTTCACTTACCCATTTTTTATAGATGTCTTGATAAAGAAATCTCGGCTAAGTAACAAAGGAACCTCTCATTTAGGCCAAAATTTTGACAGCAACAGCAACCTCACCTATTTAGAAAGATTTCCTTTGGAACTGTTTATAGCGAATTCTATTGGCAGGAACTGATGGTGGAGTGTTTCTCCACTGAGTGTATATAGGGTGTAAATTTGAAAACTTTCAATGAGAATATCTCGCGAAATAAAAAAGTTAGAAAAACGCCGCTTGGCCAAAATGCTGAAGAGTTAAGGGGAACTAGAACCACCATATTTCAGTGAAGGGATGAGTCACCCTGTCAGCGCAACACACCCCAACTTTGAAATGTCAAATGGAACTACCTCTTTTGTGATACCTCAAATGAACGGTCTCAGTCAGTAGTATATTCACCTGTACAAGACTTTTTTTCTACCCACTACAGGGTGTACGAAGAATAAAATTAATTCGAGGGTTTAAATTTGAAAACTTTCAATGCGAATATCTCGCTAAATAAAACAGTTAGGAAAACGCCGTTTGGCACAAATGCTACAGAGTTAGGGGGGACTAGAACCACCATACTTCAGTAAAGGGATGAGTCACCCCGTCGGCGCGACACACTCCATCTTTGAAATGTCAAATGGCACTACCTCTTTTGTGATACCTCAAATGAACGGTCTCAGTCAGTAGTATTCACCTGTAGTGTACAAGACTTATTTTCCACCCACTACAGGGTGAACGGAAAACATAAAGTCAAATAAAATGCAGAATGCCGATATATTCCAAGAGATGTGTTCCAAAATGTTAGAATGGCATTTGAACATCGATTATACTATTGCTTACAACAGAATGGAATGCATTTTGAACATCTGATCAAATAAAATATCCTTTTAACACAATTTATTTTATTTTATTCGACTTTATATTTTTCGTACACCCTGTAGTGGGTGGAAAACAAGTCTTGTACAGGTGACTGCTACTGACTGAGACTGTTCATTTGAGGCATCACAAAAAAGGTAGTGCCATTTGACATTTCAAAGTTGGGGTGTGTCGCGCCGACGGGGTGACTCATCACTTGATCGAAAAATGGTGGTTCTAGTTCCCCTTAACTCGTTAGCATTTTTGCCAAACGGCGTTTTTCTAACTTTTTTCTTTCGCGAGATATTCGCATTGGAAGTTTTCAAATTTACACCCTGTATTTACCTCTGTTTAACACATGCATGAGAGCAGTGCCGTGTAGTGGGGGGGTCAGCCGGGACAAATTACCAGGGCCCGGGCTCCAGAGGGGCCCGGAGCCTGACCAGCTCTGTCTTTTTGATATCATATGCTACTCTCATCAACGGAATGCGAAAATGCAAAAAGAACCCTGCACCCAGCAGCGAGTGTGCGCAGTCGGCGAAACGTTTATACTCTGTTTTTTCTTGGTTATCACGTTGTTCTCTGAACATAACAGGATATCCCTTCTGATTACCAATCTTACCCCTGAAATACGTGGCGTGGTGAACGGGATACATGAATATCACAACAGCTTTCAATGTATACTTATTATGGCCAGTATTTGGGTCAAAGTACTTACAGCAATAGACTATCGAAATAAAGTCCTTCTAGCGAGAGATGCCACTATCGACATATAGAACTCGAAAATATTGATAGCTTAGTAGATGATGGTCTGGAAGATTTATTATTTCCACAAAATAGAGGAAGACTTCGGAAGCGATTACCTGGCCAATGACGGCTGAATATCAAGTAAGCTGCCGACTATGTCATGACTGCCCAATCACTAAGTTCAGTGTATGATTGCTGGGATGGCAGCACATACGGGTGATCTCAAAGATTTCATTTGTTTTTGAGAATTTTTTAAATTATTGGTTATGTATCTCATGAAATGTCAAAACAATCAAAACATGTTGTCATTTGCCTTTCACTGCTGAGCTAATCTTGTAATTTCATTGATAATTCTTATTTTGCATTTTTTTTTTCGTATTATTATATTGGTTGGGATGCAATCAATTTGTTTGGATTTCCCAGTGACATCAGTTTGTGGACAGAATCGTTTTCTGCAATTTTGGAATGAATGGGTAAGAACAGTTCTGTAGATGTACCTCTGACCTATTTAAATGATATTGTTCATTTGACTCATTTATTTCAGCATTAGAACATTCTGAAGTTGGTGAATATTCTTGCATTTGCACAAATCATTTCCAGAAGAGCTGCATATTATGAGTTTTCCAGTATGGCAGGAAGTGCCTAATAAAAGGCTCTCTGTTCCTACAATATTTGAGGTATGTAACACTTTTATTTCCTAGTGTTGAATGAACAAATAGTATACCCAACTGAAAGGAGGTATTGTAGTTTTTGA